TTTCCTGTTCATCATAGCAGAAACCTTTTTAATAATGCACTACACTAAGTGCATTATTGCACAAATGCAACATTAGTGCACAAAATTATTGCACAAATGATCTTTAATGGGGTGTCAGAATTGACAGATACTTAAAATCTCTGTACTGGTCATTGATAGAGAGGGCTCATTTCACCTGCAACATGTGGGTATTCCTAAGACTACAAAAGTTTACATTGTCTTTTCCAGAAAGGGTAGTTTTCTGTAACTATTTAATAAAATGGCATAGCACAATCCGATTATAGAATACAATTTCTTCATTTAAGAAATTAAATATAGAAATATATTCATTTATCCTCCATGTAAGAAACTGATCACATTTAGTTTTATCTCAGCAAATTTAGATTGTTACATCCAGCTGTGATTTTAGTCCATGCAGGAAGGTTTACCAATCAAATTGGCATAATTTATATATACTTACTACTTACCAAATTCTTGGGAGCTCTTAAGAACTTTCTTTTCAGCCCCGCTTGTTCATGGAAAGAGGGCATTAATGTGGAAAAAAACCCCTAGCAGGGATCCTCAGAACAACCTTATATGGCAGAATGCAGACCGCATACATTCTCAGCGGATGAAACAGATTTTCTCTCAAAAATTAATTCAAATTGAAGTGGATACCCAAGTTCAGAACCTGTGTATCCACAAAACCAAAAAAAGAGGGATTACTATTGAATCTCAAGATTTATATCTCTGAAGCAGTAAAGAACTCTTGCTATTTTGTTTAGGTGCACCACAACAAACTCGTTAGCCAATGCAAGAAATGAAAAATAGAGAAAATACTAAATTAATGTGTGATGAATTTAAGACTCATTTAGAAACCCATGCCCCAGCTGTCAAAATAAGTGGGGTTTTACATAGTCACCCACAGACAACTGCCTCAAAAACCAAATAAATATTTTGCAGCTATGCTGTCTCAAACTGAGCCACAGAAAGGTAACTGGTCATCTATGTCTCTTCATGTCCAAGCAATGGCCAGTCAATGCCAGCACACTGTGCACTTGAAATACGGTATAATAGTGCATTCCTACCATTCATACAGAATTCTGTTTCAAAAGCCCTTTAGGATCATCAAACCCAAGTGCTCTCAGCACTGCCAAGCCCACCACTGAACCAGGTACTGAAGAACCACATCTACATGTTTTATTAACCTCCGGGGACGGTGACTCCACCATTCCCTGGGCAGCCTGTTCCAATGCTTGAGAACCCCTTTGAAGAAGAAACTTTCCCCAGTATACAATCTAAATCTCTCCTGCTGCCATATCAGGCCATTTCCTCTCGTCCTGTCATTTGTTTCTTTGGAGAAGACATTGATCCCCACACGCCTACACCCTCAAAGTCCCCCCTGAGCCTTGTTTTCCAGGTTAAACTCCACCAGCTGCCTCAGCCACTCTGCACAAGACTTGTGCTCCAGACCCTTCCCCAGCTCTGTTGCCCTTCTCTGGACTATCATGTTTATTTGTATTGTGACTGTCTGGGATGGGTTGTTTTCCTCACAGCAACCCCCACTTTGCTGTGCTGTGTGTCAGTGGCTGCTGTGTTGCTGGTAACAGCATGGTGTTTTGGCTACCTTTGAGCAGCTCTGGCCCAGCATCAGATCTGTCCCCCCAAGATTCTGCACCTCTACCACCTGCAGGCTGGGGCTGGTCAAACCAGGGGAGGGGACATGAACAAGACAACTGACCCAAACTGACCAAATGAATATTCCATACTATACAAAGTCTGCTCTGATATAAAGCTGAAAGGCCACAGTTTATCTTCCAAAAGTCCAAGATGGCAGTCATGATGATCTGCCTCACTTCTCTGAAAACAAAAAACTCGTATCATTTTGTGATCTCTGTGCCCAAGACAGCCTCCAACCACCACATCACTCAGCAGCCTTTCTTTGTACACAAGTCCACTGGATGCCTGGACACAAACACCCAGACAAACAAAAAAAACAGACCAAACAAAGCCAGAAGCCTGCTCTTCCATAATCCTGGGTAGTAGCTCTGCTGATATTTTTTTTTCCATAGCGCAAGTTATCTTAAACTTAACATCTTCATAATCAATTGTGACGAAAACAGCTACGAATCTTCACTTCACCCATCAGACTACCTTTAGATGCAAACAACAAACCTAGGGAATGGACCTTTATCAAAAGCAACCTTCTATGTACTTTAGGATTTTGACAAACTTTTGGAGTACACCCATGCAAACTTTCTGAAGGACAGCAAGGACAATTTAAACATCCTACAATTGGCCCAGGGCAACCACCACTCTAAGTACAGCCTGGTGGATGAAGAGTTTTAGACCAGAGAAGGACTTGGGGATACTGATGAATGAAAAATTAGACATAACACAGCAATGTGCACTCAGCCAGAAAGTCAGCTGTGTCCTAGACTGCATCCAAAGCAGCATGGGCAGGAGGGTGAGTGAGGGGATTCTGCCCCTCTGCTCTGCTCTAGTGAAATCCCACTGCAGTGCAGTATCCAGCTCTGGGGTCCCTAGCATGAGAAACACTTGCAATCTGTTAGAGAAGGTCCAGAGAAGGCAACAAAAATCATGATAGGACGAGAACATCCCTCCTATAAGGAAAGGCTGAGTATTAGGTCTTTCCAGCCTGGAGAAAAGATGATTCTGGCAATACCTAACTGTGGGCCTTCAATACTTGCAACATAGAGACTTTTTACCAAGGCCTGTGACAGAACAAGAACTTAAACTCAAAGAGGACAGACTTAGACTGGATGTAAGGAAAATCTTTCTTCCCATGGAGGTAGTCAGTCAAGCAACTGGAGCAAGTAGCCTGAAGAAACTGTGGATACCCAATACTTGGAAACACTCAAAGTCAAGCTGGATGGGATTTTGAGCAGCCTGATGTAAGTGAAACATTTCCACACTTACATTAGGAGGGGGTAGCAGTGTTTTGTGTTTGGACTAGATGTTTTTAAGGGCCTCTTCTAACCCAAAACATGTCCTTTTCATGCATTTCCTAGACCTCTTCAGGTATTTTTTGAGGTGGTATAGACAGCATAAACTTCAATCCATTAACAGATTTCAAATGTGTGCATTGAGGTCTCCTCACTCAGGAGGTTATCAGGTCTATTAAAGCATGTAACAGTAACATCTGTTAAGTAAGCAAACATAACGGTAAGTCAAGATAGCATTAGGAGAATCATGTTTCCAAATTAATTGAATTCAAATTTCATCCAAAGAGATTAAATTTGTTCAGCACATCCTAAAACATTACTTTGTCTAAGACTGTAGGAAAGGGGGGGGGAAGGCAAATTTTAAAAAACTATCTTTTTTTTTTTTTCTTACATTTAAACAAGGATGTATTTCAGTTTTAGATATCCAGTCATTGTTTACTTCATTACTGTAGACAGAAAAAAAGTATATAAATGCAAATCATATTGGCATACCTACATTAGTGTCAACTGCTTTACTAGAAGAAAACCTTCTTCCACATTAAAATCAAGCACTTAAATTTCAGAAAAGCAAGTGCCTTGCTAATAATTTCACCAAATAAATAGCTTTTATATATTCAATCATTGTAAGTCCATAATAGTCACACTGTCTTGTTATGGAGTTCAGATCATACAAACACAGTAGAGACTAAAAACCTCCAAGAATAAAACTCATCAGGTGTGTGAGAAATACACATCCACATGTACAAGCAACAGATTTGGTCAAGTACTAAAAACAAGGATGTGTTTTCATAAGAGAATGGTCAAGTGACCTACTTCTCAGCTCAAACAAAAACAAAGAAATAACTTTATGAGTCTGAAATAAACAGGCTCCTGGGAAGTGGAAACTTATGATCTGTCACACAGTGTGTTTTTGTAGGCCAAATTCAGGTTTTCTAAAACAAAAACGTAAGAGCATGAACAGTAATAATGACAAAGATCAAAGTATACATATGAGCACATAATCCAAACAATAAAATACACTTTTGACTCTTAATGAAAAATAAATTACAAAATAAAATTTAAATCCTTGTAAATGCAATGACTTATTCAGAGGTGTACCTTTGCTTTTATACACATTTTAAATGCTACCACAAAACAGAAGAAAAATAAATAAGTATTACAAAAGACATTTATGGACAGAAAAAATACGCTACTTAGCTCCACAAGAATTCTAAAGAAACAGAGATAATCTGTGTTTGGTCAATAAATCTGTCTAGTCACTTCACCTTCTACGGCCCTTCTTCAATAACTGGCAGTTAAACATGAAAAAACCAAAACTATCACTACGGCTTTAAAAGAAGCATATATCTTCTGAAGAAGAAAATACAAAATGGGCTGTCTTGCCTACAGAACTGTTGGTTTGTTCATATTGCAAGCACTTCATCAGACTGTGGAGAAGCATCTGACACATCTTTGCTATCCTATGATACTAGTGACCTTACACTGCAAGACAAGAAAATTACAGGAAAAAAAAAGGCAGGATATTTGGGATGCTCTGGGCTAATATGCAGTGAAGGCAGAAGTTTAACTTACTTACATTGCATTTATTACCTAAATTAAAAAGCAAAATAGCACACTGCTAACTTTACATGGCATGTCCATATTTTCATGTTAAAGATGCTGTCAACCATCAACTACCTTAGTGAACATATAGGCTTTCTTACTTATTCTGTTTTAACCAGATTCAATGTTTGCTCTGCAAAGCTCTTTTGAAGGTAATTTGATCTTGTTAACATTACTAGATGTAAAATTTAAATTATATAAACATTTTTATTCATGCACAAACACTCTTCTAATTTCTACTGTACTGCAATATTCATTGTAGGCAAAATAAAAGCAGGTTTGCAAATTGAAAAGATACTGGAAATACTTTCTGTTAGTAGCACCAGCATTTTGACAACTGCCAACAGTTAAACCAGCATCCCCAGTACCTCTAGACAGTGGTAATTTGACTGGAGTAACAATTTGACTAACCAGTAATAGTGAGGCAAAAGAAAGAAAACAATGCAAGTGTCATAAAATAATCTTAAGGTTTTATTATTTTGCATTATGGTTGTGTACCTGTATTTTTCTTCTTAATTTTTGAAGAAAACTGCTTTAGATACACTGCTACAAACTCAAATAACTTATTTATAACATCCGTCTTCATCTAAGACACTGCTATTACTTCCTAGGAAAGAAGAAATACTTCTCAAGTTCAGTTTAGCTCAAGATACTGTTCATTTTCTATCATTTCATTGGTCCATATGTTGATGAAAGAAGCACTCCTATTTGACAATATCTTAAAGCTTCCAGAACAGATGAATTAAAAAACAGAAGATGGATGCAGAAGAACCAAATCAAAGCATAGAGGCAAGATATTGTTTCTCAGGGAGTCCTCAGAAAATGTATTTATTATGGAGGTTTTTGCTTTGGGTTTTATTGTTGGTGTTTTTTTTAAGATCACAAGACAACAGGTGAACACATAAACATTTTCTCATGTTCTGTTTGGTTCTAGTCATTTGTTGCGCTGGATGGTTTTCCTTTTCCTCCGCTTGAATAGGCAGCAGCACCTGCAAGTATGACATGAATTACATATGATATAAAAGAAATCACAAAACTAAACTATTTACAGTATGTCTCATGTAAAGTACGTAGCTCATGTATAGCCAGTGCCACAAGGAACTCATTAAGCTCTATTGCAGGCAATTGATTTATTAGAATTTTTATTAGAAAAATTATTATTATTAGAAATTGAAGTAGAGATATTTTTGACACATTTCACCTTTTCTGAAAAAATATCAAACTAAAAAAGCTATAATGTAAGTAGCTATTAACCTTGGAGCACTGATGAAAGTATCAAAAGAACAGGTAGTACAGGCTGAATTAAAAATGCATTTGTAAGAAGAAAGACTATTCCATTACCTGAGTACTCTTTCATATTAACAGGCAATATGCCAAATGGAAGCTTGTGCTTATGACTGTGACACCTATATGTGCACTTAAGACACTTTTTGCTGAAACAAGAAAATAATTCAAGCTTCTTTTGTCAATCAGAACTTAGAAAAACTTTCTCCAAGGCTATTCTACAAGACATTTTAGAAGAAAATCCTAATGAACAACATAATTAATGTTCTGACCCTGTACTGTCATAATAACTACTACAGTGAAAAATCATAGCTTAAATATAAAAACCACTGATAATCTCTTTTGTTTTATTGCATACTACATGAATGAAACTAACTTGACAAACACTGTGAATTTCACTTGGCAAATACAGATAATCTGAAAGTACCTGAAAGAACACTACAACATGAAAAAGAGTAGGAGGGAGTTAGATATAGATAATATACAGAAGGACTGCAAAAGTCCAGAAAGTATTTTTGAAAATAAGGAGGAAAACAACAAACAACACACACAAAATTCATTTAAATTGTGCTGTTAGGCTTAGTTTAAGCAACTCTTAGGTCCTGAACACCACCTTTAAAAATAAAGCTTCACACTAAAGTGTTAACAATGTGTGTAACCAAAACTGAACATGCAAGCTGTATACTCTAATAGAGCTTGTACCATGGAGTTCTGTGGTTTGCTTATGGAATTCTCACTTGCACCAGTATACACTGATAAGTCTTAAACTATGAAGCACAGCAGTAGTGAAAATATAAATGTACTGCATCAATAGCCTTGATCAGTAAATCCTTAAGTCCACCAAGCATTTTATATCACTAAAATTCAAAAGGAATCCTTATGATTTAGTTTGGAATATGGGAAATGGGGAGAGCATTTAAAAATCATGGAGAATAAGGGTCTAAAATAAGGTTCTACAGGGGGTGAGAACAACATCCAAAGTAAGGGGAGACAGAAGTTACCTTCTCAAAATATCCAAGGCACCCTGTCGCTCAGTCACTGAAAAAGTAGCAGTGGGCAGAGACAGATCAGAACTGCTCTGAGAGTTACACAACTTTCAGTAGAAAAAAACATTGGTTATTGATGAAGTCCAAAATTAAAATTCAGTAGGGGAAACTACATAGATAAGTATTTTTACAGCTAGCAGAAGCATCATACTGTATTTATTAAATTTAAAGTACTTCTTAAAGAAGAGATAATTGGTTTTGAAGGGCAGTAGCCACTGACTGTAACTAAAATTCCCCCATAACTACTAGCCTTTTTTTTAGAATCCGCCTATAAGCACTAACATTCATTCTCACTTAAGCTTTGAATTTACTTGTAGATGTGTGAACTCCAATTTAGTTTAATTCCTTTTTCACTCCATGTATTTTATATATGTATATGCCATGTACCAAAGCAAAGCAGTGCTCCTCCCTTTCAATATGAATTATCCTATGATCCTGTAGATGAGGAACTCCTACCCTCAACTGTGATGGTAAATCACTTATACTTGTTCAAGAGTAGCATGCTTTAGGGAAAGCCCACAGAAAAATTCTGTCTTGATTTATAAAATTAGCATATACAGAACCCAGGTTACATAAGTAACTGTAGGAAGATGGAAGTACAGCGGATAGTTAATTTATATTCTAGAACAGCTATCTAGAATTTTAATTCTTCACTCACTTACATGGATCACAACCCAAGTAGATCAGACTTCTTAAACATTTAGAACTACTTGGATCCTCTTTGGAATTCAAGGATAGTTTAGGTTTTCTTGCTTTTCTTACTAGAAAATTTAAAGTCATCTTTGCTGCAGATCTCATACTGTTTTTTATTTCTTCTGCATATGCTATTTAGTTTGCTACTTCTCTGTCAACCAGAGAAAAAGGGCACCATGCAATGGTAAATTCAAGAATTCTATTTTTAAGCAACATAAAGCACTGCTTTTTTAATCCTCTGGTCTTCTGGAGTTCGCATAATACTACTATGATAATATACTATGAGTATAATTTCTATTAACTGTTCTTTGGGGTTTTTTAATTATATAAACTATTTAACTGTATTTCAATTCAAGGAGAAATCACTGAATGCTGAAAACTTTTGTTTTGGACTGTTTTGGAAATCGGAACTGAAGTACACTGAAACACTGTGTTTTGAAATCTGGAAGTGCTAGACTTCAAATTGGCTTCCAAGGCCAAATAAATGTAATTTTAAAAGATAAGCACCTTTAGATGGGATTATGACAGAACAGAAAGTATTGCCTGAAAATAAATTTTATGAAAGAAACATAACCCTGAGTCAGAGATTCATAGTGCACAATCTCTCAATGAGTATAATTCATAACAGAAATGTAGACTTGTTAAAGCATACTGTCGCTAGAGGGTGATATTGTCACTTAGACATAATACAGATATCACATTGCTTAGAACTGTATTTAAGGCTATAGATAGGTACATTATTAAGGACTAGTAAACCACAAAATTATTACACTATTCAATATGCATGTAAAATACAGAAGAGGTAAGTTTTAAAAATTTATACTTCTAGGAAAGGAATTTTTTTAACTTAAGTATTTAATGAATGCTAACCTTCATCTGTAGTTTATGTAACATTTCTAGAGTTGGCAGTATAACAGCAAATTATAAATTGCAAAAACCACTGCACTTTTCCTGTAGTGACCTTTGAGGTATTTATCTGAGGTAGCAATCTCAGCATTATGGTTTTGAACACTTATTGCCCTTCTTCAGACATTATCATGTCTTTTTTCCTGTTAAATACCATTCCTTCCAGTTGAACAGTGCCTTGGTCCAAAATTCTAAAGCAACTTAATTTGTTATTTGTGTGTTTTTGTATTTGCCATCAAGCATGTGGCAGGCACTTTACTGCAGCATTAGTAATAAGTGTTGAAAGTGGCAAAAAGGATGCAAGATGCAAAAAGAACAGATCATATAATCACTTCCGGTTTGCCCTTCTCTTCCTTCCCACAGAAAAGCCTTTTGATTATCCAAATCACACATGCTTCATAGAAGCAACTGTTCTGATGGCTAGCAAACCAGAAAGACAGGTTAATCACATCTGTAGAAGATTACAGATAGATCTGTAGATCCCCAAGTGTCAGGGCAGCACAGTGATAAGGTTAGGTTTCTCCTTGCTTTACAATTTCAGTAAGAATGAACTGAAATAGGACAGAAAGCAACTTTTCTAAAAATCCAAACCAACAAAAATAACCAAATCAACAACCCCCTCTACCCCCAATACTCACAAACAAAAAACCAAACCCACCAAAATTCCCAAAACACAAACCCACTGCTAAGTTATGCTAGCTGCACACCCACTGTGAAAATGACACGGCATAAGATTTAGACTATATACAAGGCATGTGAGTAGATAAATAACTATCAAACAATTAAATGTTTGGTTAAATGTTGGTCAAATGTCCCAAAACAATAAAATCCTTACTGAAGAAAAAACCCTAAACTTATCCTTTCTGATCTACAGGATTTCACTAAAACGGTAGCAGAAGCTCTAATATTCAGCTAAATTACACTTGTGTTCACAGTTAACATCATACATAATGAGGACAATTCCACATGAGGGGCACCCTTTTTAAAATACTTTAAATGAAGATATAGTAATTCTAGCTTTCTAAAACTAAGAAAACATCTAGAACAAAGAATGAAGCACTTCTAAATAAGATTCAAGTTTGTCTTCTCAGAGTATGAGGAAATGTTACAAACAAAAGATATAAGCAAGAGAGATTAGCTTTGTTCATACTTTCAGGTGGATGAAATATTATGAAAGAGGCACAAAGTTAAGAGTCTCTTGAGAAAACAATGTCTCCTTAGGAAAAAAAAAATCCATGTCACAGACATGAAGGATACTAGTAATCCCATTCCCTAAACCTATTCCTCAGTGTAAAATCTATAAACAAATGTTTAAATGTCTCACAACCCCTTTTTGTATTAGGTTTGTAACTATGATATTAAAATGTAAAAAGTAAAATCTTCTAAAGTGCTCTTTCTGAAAAAATATGTGTACCTATGCATTGATGTTTGATAGCAAAGCTGGAGAGAGGGTGAGGGTAACTGGGCATGCATGTATGTTAATTACTGTTAAAATATATAAAACAACTTCAAAACATAAAAAACTACCCCAGAAAAACCTATAGTCACTAAGGAAACAGTGACAGTGCTGAAACACTAATTTGAATGTTACATACTCAAAAACAAGAAAATCAGTCTAAAGAGTAGGAGACTGACTAGTTATTTTGTCTGTAACAAAACCAGTTAAGAGTAAGCCAAAAAGGTCAAGGACAGCATATTTGTCCATTATGTATTCATATTAGAAAAAGTGAACTCCTACACTGCTCAAGCAACTGAGCATCTTGGCTCCTGAGAATTCTCTTTCTGCAGATAGCCAAGTAAAATAGGGTACTAAAAATGGGTTTTATTGTGCTAAGCACTACTCAAAGTGCAAGAAATTTAATCTTTTTCTGTGTGTACATGAGCTGAGCATAAGAAAGATTATCACTGTGCTCATCTGAAGAGAGGGGACAGGAAATTTATCTATGGGCAGACTATCAATATGCTTCCCCATTTGGATTTTTTTTTTGTTGTTGTTGTTTCAAATATATATATATCAGATAACTGTATTTTTGACAGTAAAATAATACTGTACTCCACAAAGATAGCAGCAAAGAATTTAGTTCTTCTCAGTGCTCACAAAAAGCTAGTGCAAAAATATGGCCCTACCAGCACCTCCATCCAAAATTATTAATTACACATGCAAATAAAGCTTACCTACCAGAACCAGAACCAGAACTTACAGAACAATTGCTTCCCAAAAAATTGCACTTGGAGAAATTTCCCCATTTCTATAAAGTCAGGAAAATGGATCCTAGAAAAATTTCTGTTACTGAATTGCTCTACTGCTAATGCTCTACTGCTTCATACCTGTGTGCCTCTCTATTTTATGGTAAACTAGATCCATACCCTTGTAAAATCCTATTTCAAGCACAATTATAAAATGAAACATGTTGGAATTCATATCACCTTTAGCTATCAAGAATATTCTTCTCTACTATTTTCAAGTCTAAGTTTACTACTCAAATACATAAATATTAGTTGTCCATCTTATGGTGACAGATCTTAATATTTTTTCCTTTCATTACCCTGTAACATTAACAAACTCTGAAGTTATGTTTTAGTGATTAGTAGAAAGTTGTCGTAGACTAATACTTTGGTAAATAGCTTGTTTACAGAAAGAACTGAAGAATTTCAAACATTTACTAGCAATCATTACTTATTCATGCTGGTTATTTTACAGATGTTAATACACTAGCTGAATGCTACAATATTTGAAAAGAATGCTTTTCCCTTTAAAACAGAATAGAAAGTAAGAAAAAATATTCTAGTACCCATAAAAAATTCAATGTAAACTATATCACAAACTACACAACTTAAAAGCAAGCAGGTTTTGAAGCAGGCAGAACAGCTCCTGAAGATGGCTTTTTGTAAAAACGGTTAATTGTTTCACAGAATTAAAATGTATTTTGCCATTTCTAAATAGACATTTTATTTTTACATTTTCTGAAATTAGTTTTAAACCTAATAAAAAGAATAAAGCTCCTGGAGCTATTTCTGCCTGCTTGCACTGTATAACTCACCACATGTTCAACACTTTCTGGCAGCTATACAGAAAGAGAGCAAAGGTAAAAAGAGAATCAGAATACAATACAGAGGAAGAATTTTACATCTTCTACACATGGCTTTTGGTAGTCAGAATACTATCTTAAAATAATATTTCAAAATGAGCTGAAACATCAAAAATGCATGCACTTCTCTAGCCAGCATAGGAAGACATGTCATTGAAGGCTTAGGCTAAAAAAGCACAAGCTATAGGAACTCTATTATTTAGAAACTTACAGACAAAACTGTAAGTATAGAACTACAGTTTTGCTCCTCACCAATGGCTATTCAGTTCAGACAACAATTTCTGAAACACTCTATGAAAAAAATATTAATGCAGCTGAGCACAGAAGATCCAAAGAATATAAAAAGAAGCACGTACTTTGTTTCATCCATTACTTCTACTTCTGCAGGAGTTGTGATGGGTGCATTTGAACGGCCTGCAGTTGGGTCATCTGTGTTCAGTTCTCCATTTGTTGAGCTTACTACCTGAAATTACAAGAAAGACCTGAAATTATTCTAGTGCCAGACATACATTTTTAATTCCTATAGTTTCAATACATCTTAAAAAACCAGCATTTTTTGTTATTTCCATATTTATTTTTCTTCCAGTAACAGTATCTTCTCCAGGTTTTATTCTAGCATCCCTGTGGTCTTGTAATTTTCCTTTCATATCTGCTAGTGGAACTAACCTCTACAATGGACTCAAAGTGAGTGGGCTAATCTCCCCCACATTTCTTCAGGGCCTTAAGGAAAGGCACTAGGCACTTTTCCAACCAATTCAGTCAGTCTAACCCTATCTCTGCTCCTTAGTTTAGCTCTTTATATTCAGAGGGAATATGAAGGTCTGATCCAGTTGTATCTCCTAGGACACTCACCAGAAAAGGGGAAAACTAAGGCTGTCTTCTAAACCTAAGAGTATAGATGGTGTCTGATTTTTAGAACATGAAAACATCTACTGCCAGAAAAATTAATAAAAATTAGATTAATCTTCATTCCTATTAGTTTACCATCAAATTTCTATGTAAGTTGTTCAACTCACCATGAAAGCTGTGGCTCTCTGGGAATATTTGTTCGGACTTTAAACCAAGAGGAACTCAATATTCTTTCTCTCAGTTCCTGTCAGTCTTCCTACACGACAAATGGAGCCATTCCAGAGGCCTCTCCATTATTCACCCCACAGAATACAAAAAGGTTAACTAACTGGCTGTAGACAAGTGCCTACCTGATCAGAGCTGCTGACAGTGCTAATTGAACCACTAAAGAAGTGAAAAGACCATGTAAAGGTCTACTAGTTACTAAATAGCAGCAACTGCTTGCCAAAGTAGCAAGCATAAAAATATAATTCTGGAGAAATAGTATAAAAGTTTGCAGAAAACATCTGCAATTAATCAGCTATAGAGACTAAAAGTAGTCTGTAATTAAAAATTATTACCAGCTGTTGCCTGATGGCCAAAGATTAAGGTAGATGAAAGGAGAGGGGAGGAAAATCACCACTATAATATTATTTCACTCACTCTTCCAAGCTCTCCTCTTATTATAGCAGTTATGTCTCATCTATTCATAACCAGAGCTAAGACCTAGCTAATTGAGGTTTGTTTTGTGGCTCCTATTGTAACTAAGTACAGCACCTCAGAAGTTTTCTGCACTGAAGGCATTTTCCATGCCCTTCAGGCCAAGTTTCGTTTTTCAAATTTCACTACAATAGGAACCAATACCAAAAAAACCCTGCAGGCTTGTAACAAAATAAAAGATGTGAGATTGCAGGAATCTGATTACTTAAATTTTAGTCACTATAACTGAAGGAATCATGGGAGACTGGACTTTATTCCTACAATGATAAGTACGTTAAGGTGTCTTAAGCTTAGTTTCTTATCATTGAGCGTGACAGAATCACTTTATATTCACTGGCAGAAATAGGTAGGAATTGTACTTTAACAAACTTTAAGATGGTGAGGCAGGCATCCTGATCCAAACATCCTGGGTGACTAGTTATTGGGTTTTACAAAGTCACAGAATATTCTGAACTGTCATCATTAAATATTTACTAAGAATGGGGATCTAGTATTTCCTCAACCACCTCACCAGGTATCTTACTGCGAATGTCATTTCATTGTTTCTTGTAAAATACCCAGAGCGGAAAAGTGCATCAGAAGTATTTGCTATCTAAGACAGGAGCAGTCATAAAAATATAAGGTCAAAAAAACCTCTGCTCAATTTGATTACCAAATGAGTTTGGTTCCAAAGGAAGCACAGAAGCACAGAATACTTATGGTTGGAAGGGACCACTGGTGGGGCCATGCTCACAATGAGCTCCCTGTGCCTAACTATGTAACTAAGCACAACTATAGCCCGCACTAATCCATATACAATACCACCACCCAATTAAAATTGTGGTCCACCTTGCCTGCAGCCCTAATAATGCAGGATTTCTGCTCCATAACCTAGGCTTAAAAATAACTTTTCTAAAAAGAACATCAGATCCATGCTCAAGATTGAGTGGTTGATGAGAAACAAAAGCCTTCAGTTTACTCAAACAGAAGTAGGGTACATCAAGAAATAGTAAGACATGTATATAGCCCATTCTGGACGGGAAGCAAACACAGCGCAGCTTAGAATTCCTGACTGTTGTAAAGAACAGGTCACAGTCTGCAGAGGCATTTGCAAGAACTCCTGTTCTCTTTTCCTAAAAACAAATGAAAAAATGTATGACTTTTACATAGATACCAAACATACTGGCCAACTCTAGCATCTGTGGGGTGTTCATATGACACTCTCATTCACACTTCTCTCCCAGGAGCACCTGTTCAATGGTATCTATCTTCTTGGACAGCACATTCAAAAAAAGAGATCAAACTTACCTACATACAGATCTTCATTTGAATTGGAAAATGGGCTAGCAGGAATCTTAAAGTCCTTCCTACATTAGTAATATTGTAACTATTATGCATGTCATGTATTAATCTAAGCTGATTTCCTCTTTAAAGGAGCCAAAATCATCCTCTGCTGGGGTCAATGCACTACTATCTGGTAACAAAGAACAAAGCTTACCGCAGCTTGTACTTCAAACTGACTTCAAACTCAGCCATACACATTCACCAAACACACAAACAAATACTATGAAAAGTCTGTTGCATGACTCAGTTTAGATGGGAGGAACATCAAGCTCTTCTTTCTGGAAAGAGTTACAACCACTGAAAGCAAAAGTGAACCAAAGCATATACAGCATAAATCCAAAAATCAGCCGTGCTTCTCCAGAACCATAGATACCCTGAGTTTCACTCACATCTACTACTGCCAAAACCAGTTCTAGGAGCTCCTCGCTAAGATGAAGAAAATGAAACTAACAAAGACTCTTACAAAGGAGTGCAAGAGATAGGCAGGACTGCTTCAGTTCCACTGACAGTAAGGCTACAGCTATATGAATTTAATTTCATGTTATATCAGTAAAGTACTTTGCAACATGACCTGAAAGAGCCTTTAATAAGGCAAATTATTACATTTTCCTCTCCAGCTAGGAGCCAATCATCTCAAAGATCAGTACAACACAGGCAGGAAGATATGAGAACATAACAGAATTAACAAGAATAAGTCACCCAGAGGACACTGTATGCACTGAAGGAGTGGTACACCAAATTCTGTACCCAGAATGTACCACAAGTAAGGCACAATGAAAATTTATCACAGTAGATCCACATAAAAAGCTGTAATTTTAGGACAGAGAAGCTACCAAGTTTGCTTTAAGAGAAACTTTAATTTCTCCACTTGTGACTCAAGTTGGAATGGATTTCCCTTGATGAAATAAATAGCCTGATGAAAAAATGGGAGGAACAATTAATCTCTTGGAAGACTTGAATATAACTATAGTGAAAAGATTAGGATATTTAAGTTATGGTTTTGCATCTAAAATTTTTGTTACAAAATGTATAGGAACACTCTTCCCTGAACACTAACATAATTACATTTCAAAAAACCAAACATTTTTAAAGTTTCAAATTAGAAGTATTGCAATATTGAAGATTAACTTAAGCTACTCACTATTTTCAAGTGGGAGAATAACCACTAAACTGAAAACCTAAAATTACTTTAAGCATTTTTATAACTTCATCCTGGTTTAAATTTACTTCCTTCAAATTTAATCAGTTCTTTAGAGGTTTAATATAAAGAGCACTTATATAAAGAAGCATATTCACCACTGGTTATTTCTTGATACTCTCTATGACATGAGGTAGAGAAACAAAAATTCCACCCACTACCCATTAATGACACATTCACTGTGAAATAGACTGATTTCTTAGATAAATGGTCCTCTGGAACCTTGACAAAGGTCATTTGTAACATGACACAGCTAGGCCTAAATACCAAACCCCTAAATGGCAAAATTAAATCTTCAGTCTACTTTGTTCTGGATTAGTATCTTTTACTTGCTATATTCAAAAATCAGTTAGAAAGTCTGCCATAAAAAAAAAAAAAATCCTGATTTTCATTACTCTAATCACAACGAAGAATTGCAAAAATTTAGAACAGACATAGGAAAAAACTCCTTAATTCCATTAAGAATCTCAGTAACTGAATTCTCTACCCAAAAAATATAGCCAGTCTACACCTCTAAGGAATTCATAACTGATATTGCACAATTCTTTATTTTACTTTCAAAAAGTTTTCAGTAAAGACAAAAGAATAAAAGTCATTACAATAACTTTTTCATTCACAAAAGCTTAGCAAAATTGATTTGTTTCATCTAACACTTTACTATCTTGACTTCTCAAAGGAGAGTAATCTGGCAACTGAAAACTACTTACATCAAATATAAAAGTCTTTCAAGCAGTTCCCAAGTACTTTCCTGGGAACTCTTTAACCCAATCTTTCCATCTAACTTCATTTTAAAGAATTTCCCAATGGGAAAAAATTAAAAAAAAAAAAAAGATAAGAGGAAGAGGATCAGTTAGTAAGTGATGAAAAAAAGTAATGGAACAGATTAATACAATCTTTATGAGTGCATAAGTAGATTGCAGCTCATGCAGAGAAAGAACTAATTCTGTCTTGTACAACTGTCATTCTGAGAAGTGAGACAAACTTATGAAAACAAAGACACAGAAGTTGTTGAACAAATTGCTGGGTGTATGAGTTGATCATTAATAAGTCTGCATGAACTATAAAAATGGACTGAGCTAAGTGAAAGAATGGATGCCTTCCCTTTACAACTCAATTTCCTAGTACTATTTAAACTTCAACTGATTCTACAAAGTAAAATTAGACAGGTCTAAGCACAATAGGGTCTTCTGAACACAAGCCTGGGGTCTGGGAAAAATTAAATTAGTACAAAACATAGAACAGTATCTGTAAATGAACAAACCAGTTTGAACCTCAATGGTTCCCACTTGAACTTATCACTAAGAGCACGCAATTATATGCTAACAAAAATATACACAGTCAGTTGCCTCAATGTTATTAAGTCACAGAAAATAATCACTAGTGCAGTTTAATAATCACCTAAAAAAGAACCTAAGAGATTACATCAGCAGTAGTATTAGCATCTAATTAGTATTAGATGACTAATAGCACTGACCTAAAAACATTCCACTGTCACTTTGAAATAATCAGACAGATTTTCATATCTTGCAGAAAAATTGGTAAAACTGATCTCAAAGAAGAGCAATGGCTCACCTAACATCACAGAAAAAAAATAAATACACTTTAATTGCACACCTCAGATTCAACTTTACCTGTGAACAATTTTCTGTGGGATTTTTAGTATTTGTCTTTCAAAAACAATTAGGAATCCTACTAAAGTAGCTAGCTAATGTACCAACTTAACAAACAGCATGCTTCAGTTAGTATCCCTGCAACAAAGAGGTATTTGCTAACAACCAGGGGCTATGTCACAGTTTCCTATCTTCAGCAAAACTGAAGATATTATGTTATTTTACAAGTGGCCTTAATAAGGAAGCATGACCACACCACAACAAAAAGCAACCCAATTTGAAAACATCCTGCTGCACAACTTGATCTTCAAAGACACAGACCATAGCTGCAGTTTTGCACGGTGCTTTTATTCATGTGGCAATTGCTTAGCCTCAACAGATCTAAATGACCTGAACTCAGACAGATGGCCTATATCCTGTGAGGAAAAAGGATAGAAACAACACTGTATTAACAGTAAGGAATACTAGTGTTATTTGTGTTATTTCCTAGAAAATGTTCTCCCATTCCCCGAAGGGTATTTAGCAGATTTTACAAGGGAAGAAAATTTCTTGCAATTGTTATGTTTTACCTGACAGAGAATGAAAAGTTTCTGAAGTGCCACAATTGCCAACAGTCATATGATGGCACTTTGCAAGTTCAACTAACTGTAATTTAATGAATTCAATGTGTATTTTTCTAACCTAAAATATGGGAAAATAAAGTTTTTTTAAACATTTGTTAATGGGAAGAACAAAACAACTTTTAAATTTTTCTTTATACAATGCAATAATTATCACCTACTACATTTTGTTACATTACACATGACAGCTGTTTCTAAAGTAACAAAATCTAGAGAATGTTACCACACTGACAGGACTGCAGCCTTGTTTGCTGTACCCTGAAATTTTCATTCTTTCTTTAGGCCATGTCAATTTTTTTCCAAACCAGAAACTTCAGAAGAAACACAGATTGTCATAATCAACATAACTCAGGTTGATGTAATCAAAACTCCAGCAATTTCTACACACAACCGCCACCCAAATAAGACTTCCCAAAGTGAAATCATTTTCATTTTTGACTCAGAGCTCAAAATCTTATGTAAACTTCACAGTTGGAATTTTGAATCTCTCGGTATTAACTCCTCACACATTACTCCTACTATTTTGCATCTAAATATATTTGAAGAGTGAGATCAAAAATTTCAAAAGTTAATTTTAAAAACTGAAAACAAACCAGAAAAAGAACTCTTTGAAAATTAAATAAACTAATAATATAGAAAAAACTTTTGGTTTCTACACATTTTTTCACTGAGATGTGTGAGGTGCTTCCCTGGGAACATTTTTCTAGCCAATTATGATTTGAATAATAAGGTGAAGTTTAAGCAAACTTCACTAAGTAGCATTTTAATCTGTTTACTTAAGGAACAAAAAATATGGCTTGAACAACACTGAATTCAATAAATAGTGGGTTTCAGTTGCTAATACAATTAGCACATTTAACATCTAACCTTCAGTTGCTCTCACTGAGATACATATATATTCTGTAAAAAAGACAGCTCAACTGTTTTATGTTCGACTTTTATTAAGAAACATGCAAGAAAAATTCCATCAACAAAAAGTTCCATAGCTTCAGCACCTGTTTTCAGTTTAACAACCAAACTGTGAAATAAGAAATAATAGAAGCATTCTGAAAATTACTGATAAGCAATCTTAATATGAAAACATGAATCATGAGATACTTTACAGGAAAGTAGTTATGTAATGCAAAACAACTGATTTAGGTCATGCAAAGAAGCAGAAAATACCTGTACAGAGCCACCATGTCTGTCAGATGCCAGGTGAGCCCTCAGATTATGTGGATAGGTTTGCTGTGAGTCCCAAGCTGCCCTATGGTCTGTTGACTATTATTTTTAAATGTATTAGGATTTATGCAAAAGAAGAAAAAAAAATTTAAAACAAACAATTTGTGCATTGTCATATTTTTAAAAAGTACAGAAGCACTACACACTCAATCCCCATACAGACTGCACATCAACATTATCAACATACTTACACATGCCTTCCTAAAAATTTTCATACAGAGCTGAAGTAGCTAAACCTCAAAATTCCTAGTAAGAAAAAGTACACTAAAACAACCCTCCAATTTCACTTAAGTAAGCTGACACAGCTCAGATTTCCTAAGATTGTTACCACCTAAGTCATAAGCCTGGTTTAAAAAAAAAGTGAAAATGTTATACATACATGTCAGAACAGAAAGAGAGAAAAGAGTGTATGGAGGAAAGACAGTGAATAAAGAAATGTGAGTAGAGAGAAAATTCACTATATTGTATCATAGCTTCAATCACCCAAACTTTTAGGAGATATTTATGTATCTCTAAATATACACACTTTACCAAAGATCTACTTAAAGTGAAAACAAAGAAAACCTAGAGTCAATTTTATTTTCAAGTTCTAATAAAAACATAGCACAAATCATTAGACAAAAGACATAGTAATGCTGATAATCTTACATGAGTAATTTACCTGATTTTTGGATTGCTGCATTCTGTCTCTGTGCTGATATGCTTCTCTGTTTGAAGATATTGCAGGGTCTGAATGGATTGAACCCACAGGAGTAGGCTACAAATATAAATAATATGTAGCAACTGGTAAAAAAAATAAATTAAAGTCTCACCAAAAGTTACTGGTTTGTAATAGAAAATAATATTTAAATCTGACAGTTTCAAATAACACAAAATTATCAGATTAAAGCAGAAGCTTCACTAGATATTTACTAATACCAACAAGAAAAAAAGTAAACCATGACTTACAGAGTAAACCATGACTTACAGAATACATTGAAGTAACAATTCAAAGTATTACCATACATTAATTTTCTAAAAGACTTTAGGCTGATACTTCCTGCAGTTAGCAGTTATGACATTCTGATGAAACCTTATGAAAAGCTTAAAGCATTTTTTAATGCCAAACATCAAAAAATACATTTTGCAAAAAATATATTTGCAAAAAAATAAATGCTACGATTCTTTCAGAATCATACAGAGAAGAGTGAAGTGCATAATCTGAAACTGCTCAAACATATACATATTAGTCCTCCCTTCCCTATATAATAAAAAGAAGTGAAAAAAATTGAGGAGCTAAAGAAAACCCCATCCTCTACAATTTCTTAAATTATACAGAGTGTTTCCTGAAACCTTAGAAGCACTGCAATGAAATATTTCATGAACTGATAAATATCTAGAGTATATGTCCTATGCAGAGAAGTTATAGCTCTGCCTTTTAAAAATACTGAGAACAAAAAAAAAAATACATGCAGTAATGACAATTACTTGCAAAATTTTAAGTTCCTTCGAAGAAACAATCTGAATTTCTACCACCTCATTTTGGAGTGTGCAGTGATGTACTTTGATAAGAAGAGCACATTTGGAAAGAGAATGAATATGAAGCATTCAAGCCAAAGAAAATGTTAGACCATGCACCTGCAGATGGGCTTGTAATAGCAGCTGTTCACAGCTCTATTAGCAGCCTTGAGAAGAACATGTCTTATGAAACTCAAAACCAATCATAGAAAAACCCATTATGTTACTGACAGCTAAACTGTACTCACCAACTGTTTGCCAATCCAGTCATATTCATAATCAAACATATAGCCTTGGCGATCAAGTAAGTCTGTGAAGAGTTTTCTTAAGTAGTCGTAGTCTGGCCTTTCAAAAAAGTCTAACCTTCTTACATAACGTAGGTAAGTGGCCATTTCCTCTAGATATATAAGAAATATATACATATGCTATTATCTGTTTTAATGGAACTCAAAAAAATCCCCACCACCTTATTTCATTTTAAAGCAACTTGTACCTCTCACCATAAAACCTGAACAGTTGTTCACCATGGATCTGTGAATTACCAGAAAGAAAAGTTACTTAATAATGTTCTTTAAAATGCTACCATATTCTGAAATACACTACCATATTCCAAACGTATAACTAGCAAGTAATACCCCAGTAATTTTTCCTTCATGTTATCTGTTGAGATCTTCTGTTCAATGTTCTAATTCTAATGCACAGTGTGCAAAAGTGTGTGGAGAGAAATGCCTCTACTTCTATCTTTCCAACCAATTTTACAGAGACAAGGCTAAGGAAAGGTAAAGAACGGGGTATACAACATAAAGCATCATCTTGTGTCCAGAAGGCCTACTGCAAACAGGATTTCCTTTCCTTTACCATGAGCTACTCTCAGCAAATCCACTTTGCCTATCAATGATATTTTGATTACCTTTCAAGGCGTTCACTTATATTTTGGCAAAATCATGTCCATGCCATACATGTCCCCTGTTCCAAGAACTTTATTACAACTTTTAAAAAACATCATATTCTTTCTGTGCAATTTTCCAACACCTCATTGATTCAACTTGTACTTACAGAGACCTAGAAGTGACACCTGAAACTTACAAGTTATTTTAAATATTAGTTCAAGCTGTTTCTAATGCAGCTTGTTTTTAATAGGGGTATGATACCAGATTTCAGCTGAAAAGACTTGTAAAATTTTCAGTGTGAAGATACAAGGGCAGACTAGCTGATTGCTGTAAGCACACAGTTTTTTTTTTAATGTTTCTTTAGAATAATCTATATTTGAAGAACAACAGCATTAGCTTGCCGCTGCTTCAAAGGATAATTCTTCTGTCTGGGCCCAGTACTATTTAACTTATTAATTAATGATTCAGACAAAGGGGCAGAGGCCTCCTCAGCAATTTCACTGACAACACAAAGCTGGGAGGAGTGGCAGATACCCCAGAGAGCTGTGCAGCCCTTCAGAAGGACCTCGACAGCCTGGAGAGATGGGTAGAGAGAAACATTCTGAAATTCAGCAAAGGCAAATGCAGGATCCTGCACCTGGAGAAGAATACTTCTGTGCAGCAGCACAGGCTGAAGGCCAAACCTGCTGGGAAGGAGCTCTAAAGAGAAGGACCTGGGGGTCATGGTAGACAACAAGCTCATCAGAGCCAGCGGTGTGCCCTGGGGGACAAGAAGGCCAATGGAATCCTGGGGTGCATTATGAAAAGCAGGTCAAGGGAGGTAATCTGTCCCTCTACTCAGAGGCTATGTCCATCTCTGAGTTCCTCAATACAAGGGAGACAAGGAGTTCCTAGACCATGTCCAGCAAAGGGCTACTAAGTTTATCAAGGGACAGTAGCATCTTTCATATGAGGAAAGGTTGAGGGAGCTGGGCCTGTTCAGCCTTGAAAAGAGGCAACTGAGAGGGGACCTGATTAATACATATAAATATCTAAGGGGTGGGTGTCAGTATGATGGACCCAGGCTCAGCTCAGTGGTGCCAGCACTACCAGGAGAGGCAATGGGCAGACATTGATGCACAGAAGTTCCACCCAAACACAGGGAAGAACTCCTTTACTGTGCAGGTGACTGAGTGCTGGATCAGGTTACCCAGAGAGGTTTTGGAATCTCCTTCACTGTAGACATTCAAGAACAGTCTGGACACAATCCTACGGCACATGCTCTGGGATGGCCCCGCTTGAGCATGGAGATTGGACCACAGAACCTGCTGTGGTCCCATCCAACCTGACCCATTCTAAGATACTGTGATCTATTACACATACTGTAATTTTAAACCCCAGCAATTACCTATGCCAGTTCCATTTTAAAAATCAATACACAACATTTTTATTAACAGCAGACATTACCTGGGAAGTTTTCACACAATACTTCTATAGGAGTTGCTCGTTTAGTGTCTCCAATTTTCTGGTAGCGTTCCTTTAATGTATCCGCCTATGACAGAAGAACAAACAGGCTTCTCAAGTTATACAGCTTGCAGACACACATTCAAAAAGCCCAAACATATCAATAAAAGCTGATGATCTGAAAAAGGACAGAAGCAGGTATCAAAACCCACTACCTTTAAACCTTGCCATGGAAGACTTCCTCTGAGAAAATATATAAACATATGACCCAATGCTTCCAAATCATCTCTTCTACTTTGCTCTGAAACAAAATGCAAATATTATTAGAAACTTCCATCAGTGTAATTTTACATTATATTTAGAAGACTAGCTTCCAAATTATATAAAAATAAATGTTAGGTATAAAGTACTTGAAAGCAAACTGAGCATGTGGGGGCATTCTTGTGTACTACGGACTGTCTTAAGAACACAGATAAGCCCAGAAAAAAAGAAGATGCAGACTGCAGGTATATTCATCTCAACAGCACTTTAAAAGAAAGAAAGAAAGAATTCTCAAAAATTATTGCTGAAAGTAATAATTCTCAAAAATGCAGAAGGAATTTTCTTTGAGCTACTGGAATAACCTCAGGATTTAGTAAGCTTTAGGATTTAATAAAATTTTAGGACCAAATATTCGTTTGTTCTTGCAGTAAAAAGTCGACTAAAAACTGAACCAATGTAGAATTATTTGTGGATCATTTAGATTACAAAGAACTGATTCTTAATCTAGAACCTATGACAGGTCTGACAAGAGAGCACATGTACTAAAGGTAAGAATGAAGTTCTCCTAGTTTTGAGGGTAAGTACTTTTTTAAAGAAATCAGCTTCATTTGGCCTTTCTGTTCATATTAAGAGCAGACTTCATTCCCAGAAGAGTTTCAATTATTCACTATACAATAACTAACCTCAGCCTCTGCAATAATTTAGCACTATTATGAAAAGACCAATACAATCAAGAATATGGGCAGTTCCCCAGAGACCACTACAGATGGCTAGATTAGAGTAAGTTATAACTCCATGTGACTATACTTTCTGTAGCCAAATAATTTAGACGACACTTTAACACACTGTTCTTTTGAATTTGGGGAAATCCCAAAATAATTGCCAATTAATTCACATATCCAACAAACACAGATAATTGCAGAACTTCTACAGACACAGATTTTTGTCTTCATTAACCTCATAGTCAGAATCTACACTGTCTGGAATCTCACTTTCCCTTCCTGAAAATGAAGTGAACTGGAGAAGAAGCAGAGTAATTTTATCCCTAAATTATATTATTGAGAGGTGGGGCACCAGCAACATGCTAGTAAGGGCTGCAGTGTTTGTATTTCCTTCAAATAGCTCTCTGAAGCCACATTATTCTCCATATCAACAAAATACCTTCTATTCCATATACAAACCCCGAACTTGGCACAAAACTACCAGAAATCCTTAATCAAAAAACAAAATATTATTGACTACAAGACATTCGGTAACTATGTATTTCCTATATACACCTTAAAAGAGTGGGTTTTGGTGATTTTGAACAAGTTTTGATTACACATTTAAAGTCTTTCTAGTAGCTATGCATTTGTTATGATAGCTTTAAATACCATGGATTCTAAAACATACTTTTTGTTCAAGGATAAATTCATCTTTTCTTACTCATATGCACAAACAGATAAAGTTACAGGTCAATAGAGACCTGTAACAAAATAACTTATAAGAGAATGTGAACCTGACAGCCTCCCTCTCTACTGAAAACACTTGTTTTACAAGGGTCAACTGTTAGACCACTCAGCAGTTCAGGAAATTATCTACAGACTAAAAATACCACACTAAAAAATTGTCCTATTACCACTATTTTCAGAGCAAACTGTATCCTATATGCCACTGTCTCTGTGAACACAGAGCTTGAGGACCTTCAGTACTTCACTGCATGAATTAAAAAATATATATTTTTAGACGAGTATCACAGAACATTAAAAAATTGTTGGAATGGAACGATTCAGACTCTTTAGGAAGGAGAAGCAAGGGAGATCAGGAGGCAATGTCACCCTCCATGGCAATAGCCAGCTGACTGTATGGAGTTTTGTCTGGGAATGGATGAGGAGCTGACCAAGACCTATTGGGGAACGAATAATGGGAGGGGCAAGGTTAGGTGGCCACAGGCCCTCCAGCCAGGAAGACTGGACAGCTGAGTCCTCATGGTGGTGCATCCCTCCCTCACCCCTTCTAGGCCACACTTATCTGAAAAAAGCTCATAAGGTTTCAGCTTGACAAACAGCACCTGGGCTCAGCTTTTCTGGAGTTTATCAGAAACCCTTTGCTTCCCAGAGTCCCAGCTGTCTAACAAGCTCACGTTTCCTTTATGAACAGCTTTGGAAACTATTTCTCTTGTTTGCGTAGCATAACATCCCTGTTCTCATGCTTTCAACTGTGTGCCAACCCACACTGTGGCCAGGATGAAACATTATTATGAATAAAGCCCACTTTCTTGTGACCCCATAAAACACTGGTCTAAAATGAGAACCTTTGAGTTCTTCTAGACTGCAGCAGCTGTGACCAGCAACCTCTCTCTGAGCTGGGCTTCTCAGAGCCCACTAACTCACAAGTTTGCAGTTCTCAGATGACTGCTGAACAAAAATTAATTATAGGCTAATACCCCCACTCCTCAAGGCTCAACTCTTTGCACAATGAAAAGATGCAAAAGCACCCAGAGCGAGTATTTCACTGCGTTTGAGGGGAATTTTTTCACAGGTACTTTTCACTGACTCTGCCTGTGTGCACAAATATACACATATGCTACAGCAAATTTTGTGAGAAATGCTGCTCTCTTAGATGCTCAAGTATCTTGGATATCAAAGACAGGTTTGTAAGTAAGGTTAAGTTACAAGTTATATTAAATGCTGTTAAGTGTTAATTCCTATGTTGAATTGTTAAGTTTAAGGTTTAAGTAAAGGTGTAAGTTAAGGTTAAATACTTCTGAGTGCTGTTAAGCTTTTAGGCTGTATTCTTTTTTATACTTGCCCTCTCTGTCCTTTTGTCACTTGTCACACACTCCTAAATACACAACAGCCCTAGACAGCTCTCAGTTAGTTTCTGTTTTGATTGCCTGGATTTTAGCTGGGGTTTGGGGTTTTTTCTCTTTTTCTTTGGTGTAACTGACTAATAAGTAGCAGAGTAAACCTTGCAAAGAACTTTGTCATTGCTTAATATTAAATCAGGTTTTTACTGATACCCTTTGCTGATGATTTTTTAAGTGTTCTCAAGCACTCATTCATAACAGCTGTCTACCAATATACAGGAAGCACCTCATGCTCACAAGCCCTGGTCCTCACAGGGGAACCTCAACCACTCTGATATCTCCTGGACTGACAAGACAGCAAGGCATCAGCAATCCAGTAAGTTATCTTTGATGACAGCTTCCTTCTCTAAGTGACAGAGGAGGTAAAAAGGAGATGTGCCATACTGGCACTTGTTCTCACCAACAAGAAGAGGCTGGTGAGGAACATGAAGCTCAAAGGCAGCCTTGGCTGCAGTGATCATGAAATGCTAGAGTTTGAGAGAAACGTGAGTAGTGAGAAGGGAGCAAAGCAAACCCAGTACCCTGAATTTCAGCAGATGCAGCTTGGCCTCTTCAGGGATCTGCTTAGCAGAGTACCATGAGATAAAGCTCTGCAGAGAAGCAGGGTCCTAAGAAAGTTGGTTAATGTTCAAGAATGAGTTCCTCCAAGCCCAGGAGCAATACCTTCCAACAAAGCCTTCAAGCAAAAACCATCAGGAGGCCCACATGAACAGTGAGCTCCTGGATGAATCCAAAGGGAAAAAAATGAAGCATATAGAAGCTATATAGCATATAGGGCAAGCAAGGACAGGTAGTCTGGGAGGTATACAGAGAAACTGTCCGAGAAGCCAGAGATGAGTTCAAGAAAGCTAAAGCCCTGAGAGGATTAAATGTGATTAGGGATGTCAAGGGCAACAAGAAGAGCTTCTATAAGTAAGATGGTAACAAAAGGAAAACTAGGAAAAATGCTTGACCTCTCCATAAGGAAACAGGAGACCAGGGATATGAAGAAAGCTGAGGCAAAAAATTACTCATCTTGCACCACAGGAAAGTTTAGATTAGATACTGGGTTCATTAAATTACTTTTTTACCTCCATTTTCCCTGGTATTTCAGTCACATCATTCATGTCACAGGAAGAAAGGGCAGGGACTGGCAGAATGAAGAACACTGTAGATCAGGTTGGAGCCCATTTAAGGAACCTGAAGGTGCACAAGTCCATGGGACCTGCTGAGATGCATCAATGAGTCTTTAGGGAGTCTCAGGCAAAGACACTACCCATTACATCCACTACATCTCAGAAGTCATTACAGCCCAGTAAAGATTCCACAGACTAAAAGAGGAAAAAGATAACCCCTATTATTACAAATGGAAGAAAAGAAAGGCATGAGGAACTATAGGCCTGTCAGTCTCACCTCAGGGCCCAGCAAGCTCACACTGTAGCTCCTCATGGTAACTATACTGAGGGACATGGAAAATAAGGAGGTGACTGATGATGGTCAACATGGCTTCAGTAGGGGCAAATCACACCTGACAAATCTGGGGGCCTTCAACACAAGTATAGTGTTGGTGCATGATGGAACAGCAATCAACATAATCTACTTGGATATGCGCTAAGCATTTGACACTGTAACACAGGATATCCTTGTCTTGGAACTGGAGAGACACTGATTTGACAGCTGAAACAAGTGGATAAGGAATTGGCTAAGTGGTCAAACTGTAAAACGTGGTCAAGAACTCCCTGTCCAAGTGGTCACTCATTCTTTAGGGGTCGTACTGAGATCACTGTTGGGTAACACCTTAGATGGTGTCATGACAGTGGGATCAAGAGCACCCTCAGCAAGTCTGTCAATTACATCTGGCTGTGCTGTGCTGTCAACATGCTGTAAGGAAGCAATGCCACAGGGGTACCTGGACAGGCTTGAGAGGTGGGCCTGTGTGAACATGACAGCAAAAAGTGCAATGACCTCCACCTAGGTTAGGGCAATCCAAGCACAAATACAGGCTGGGCAGAGAATGGAGAGCAGCCCTGAGAAGGACTTCCATGTGCTGGTGGATGAGAGGTGGGACATGACGCCACGATGTGCACTCACAGCCCAGAAAGCCAAACATGACCTAGGCTGCACCCAGAACAGTGTGGCCAGCAGAGCAAGGGAGGGGATTCTACACCTCTGCTCTGCTCTGCTCTGGTGAGATCCCACCTGTAGTGCAGCAACCAGCTCTGAGGTCCCCAAGATACAAAGGACACAGACCTAATCAAGCAAGTCCATGAAGATATTCAAGCAGCATCCCTCCCATGAAAATAATCTGAGAGTTGCTGCTGTTCAACTTAGAGAAAAAAGGCTTCAGGGAGACATTACAGCCCCTTCCAGTACCCAAAGGGAGCCTACAAGAAATCTGAGGAGGGACTTTTTATAAGGACATGTAGTGACAGGACAAGGACTAGTGGTTTCATATCAAAAGACAGTAAGTTTAGATTAAATATTCAGGAGAAATCTTCAGTGTGAGAGTGGCAAGACACCGAAACACCTTGCCCAGAGAAACTGTAGATGACTCATCCCTGGAACTGTCCAAGGCAAATCTGCAGGAGGCTTAGAGCAACCAGGTGTTCCAACCTATGGCAACAGGGTCAGAACTGATGAGCCTTAAAGATCCTAAGATCTTTAAGATCCTTTCCAACAAAAACCATTCTATGATTAAACAAGTTACCATGAGACAAAAATAAACACGTATTAGACGTAATCAAAATTCAGTTTGCTTTTCAAGCAATTACCAGTTTTACACTTTGGTTTATCTTAAAAGGTTCAGGGGAAATCTTCGTATTTAAGGAGTGAAAAATTTATTTGATTTTAAAAGTGATTTTGCCACTGTTGAAAATGTTATAATAATCAGAAGTCTAAACTGCCTAGTGGAGATGAGAGCCCAGTGTCAAAAATGTAAGTCACTTTAAGCTGACATCACCATTTATGCCTGAAAAATATGTGGATGCTTCTTTTTATCTGAAGAACCTGAGTTCCAAAAGTTAGATTCAGAAAGGTCAAACCTTACACTTAAGGTGCTGGAGTATGCCCACTAAAGAGCAACAAAGCTGGTGAAGGGTCTGGAGCATAGATCCTATAAGGAGCAGCTGACAGAGCTGAGGGTGTTCAGAAAAGGAGGATCAGGGGAGAGCTTATCACTCTCTAAAACTCCCTGAAAAGAGGGTACAGCTATGTGAGGGTTGGCCTCTTCTCCTAAGGAACAAGGAACAGGACAAGAGGAAAAAGCATCATGTTTGCTACAGGAAAGTTCAGAATGGATACTGGGAACATTTGCTTCACCAAAAGGATTCTTAAATATTGGACCAGGCTGCGCAGGGAAGTGATTGAAGTCACCATTTCCAGAGGTATCTTAAAAGCCTTACAGATGTGGCACATAGGGACATGGTTTAGTGGTGGATTTGGCAGCGCTGGGTTAACGGTTGGACTCGATGACTTTAAGGGTATTTTCTAAGCTAAGTGATTCCATGGCTCTGCTTTATTGATAAAGTACCTTCCTTATTCCTGTCTGAGAAGTGTGAACGGTTTCTCATTTCCTGTATTAACAGTTATGCTTACAGTTAAACCGTAAGTATTGTGCAGTGTTTTTATTATCAGTTCAAAGAATAACCTAATTAGAGATTACCATGCAGTGATAAGCAACTGGTTTACACAAATACAAAGGGGTCTAATTAACTGTTTTCACTAGAAAATCTCTCTAGCTGGAATAAACAAAGATCTGAGCGCTCATACCTTTCTCAAGGTGAACTTATTCATTCAATAATAACACCTTTCATATTTATATACATCCTGTAATTGCTTTAGCTTGCTACATAACCATTAATAACACCAACAAAGCCTTATTAACAGTGTAAGCACTAAAAAAAAAAAAAAAAATCAAGAAATCAGCATAATCTCTAAGCTATTATTTTATTTTATGCTGCATTTCAAAGAGATCAGAAAAGCAAGGAAGCATTGAAAACCCATGCTATTGTAACCTATTGACTTTTCTGTATTTAATCCGCACATCTATTTCCTGGACACTTCACCCTGCTGTGGTATACTTAAAATGTGAAGATATTATGCTACAAGAAGATACACCTCATCTTTCTTTTAAGGAAAGCTAACAAGGAGGACAATTCCCAAGATATGATCATGATGATTAGCGATTCAAAAAAGATTATTCCCATAAACAGTATTTCCATAAGGACAAACTATATTTTGAACAATACATAAAATTTCAAGTTCTTAATGACTTTAGACTGAGGAAAACTAACTTGAAAGCAAGATGGTTTATGACATATCACAGCTGTTTCTGTACCTAAAAAGCACACGTACCTTTTCCTAAATGTGTATTTATACTCATGTATCTAGCTGTTCCTGTAAGGCTCTTGTGTTCTCGATATGGTATGTGCTTCTTTGTTTCTGGATCTACGTACTCCTTTGCCAAACCAAAGTCTATAATGTGAATAATTTGCTGGGTTTTGTTTCCAGGTCGTCCTATTAAGAAGTTCTCAGGTTTTACATCTCTGTAAATCAAGTTCTTTGAATGGACATATTCCATACGAGAAATCTTCAATAAAAGAAAAAGAAAAATAGACAAGGAAGCTTGTCTTAGTTTAAGCATCAGGTTGCCACATTCAAATGTGTTAGAAGCTAAATATCTTATATTGACTTTGCACATAGAAGAAATCACCCCTCCTAATATCTTAAGACCAAAGCAATATTGTTCTTAACAAAGTATCTCCCAGTTAAAGTCAATGAAAATTGTAAACTTTTTCACAGCAGATACACCAACTGGTGTATTGGAAACTCTCACACTGAAAATTAGTCATGAATCCTGCACACAAAAGAAGTTTTTGTCTCTCAAAAGAGCTGGCACAAGTATGTTTTCTGTACATTAAAAGTAAAACCAGAAATTATGTCACCAAGCAGTAGGCAGCAAAGTTTAATGTAGATCTATTACATGTTAAAGAGATAAATGAGAGAAGCACTTAAAGTTCATTACTATGCATATAAAGTTCATTCTAGCTGGAGTGCTTTCTAGCAAAATATCCATATTCAGAAAAGAACAGAAACAGTAAATAAAGCTGATCTTTTGACTTGTGAGAACTTGAGCATTTAAAAAAAAATAACTTGATCATTTTGACTGTAAATAAGTTCAATGGGTTTGTATGTCTGTATATAGGAAGAGGGAAATCTTCAAAAAAGAGAATAATTCTTCATTCAGTAGTTTTGTGCTATAATTTCTGGAAGGATTTGGGGAATTTTTTTCATTTGTTTGTTTGCTTTCTTGTAAGAATGCCCAGGAAAAAATACTTATTCTATTTAGGAGTCTCATAATACAACTGCTTGCATGGACTAAAATTACTTTCATTTCTTTAAGGTTTTCTTTTTTGAAAGAGTATGTCGAACTAAAATTCATCATTTTAGATTGTGATTAGAACTCAGAAGACACAACAAATTACATTCATTAACTGACTTGAAAAACTGGAACAAAGTAAATTAAAGTAATGTAACAGCATTCCTGCTTAAACTGTTATCACAAGCATTTTAAATAAAACCAACATCAGTTTAAAACATGAGGAAGTGCAAATCTCCTCAGCGAAGTAAACATTTAACCAATTGAAGACTGATTTAGTTATTCTAGTGAACACTCAAATTAACATCTATTCTACTTACCAACTGTATGGCTATCATAAGAACGGTTTTAAGAGAAAATGTCCTACCACACAAGTCAAATAAATCTTCCAGACTAGGTCCAAGTAGCTCTAGCACCATAGCATTGTATTTGCCACATGGGCCAAAATAATAAACCTGAGGTATTCCATCTGTAAAATGAAAATACAAAGTAATGATAAGAGGTTAAATAAGATTAAGGTCCATAGCAATACAATTCCTACCCAATATCAAGTTGATCGTAAGTTAAAAAATACATTTTTCACAGAAAAACAAAAATAAACCTTCACAAAAACTACAGGTAAAAGACACAACAGGAATACTGAAGATAGTCACAAAAATATTAATGAAAATGGTACTATTACATATTTGACTTGTGAAAGATGTCAAGATTTTTATAAAAAATTTAAATTAGAACCTCTCTATTAAGTTTTGTAACCATAAATTGAAACAGGGTTTTGAAATGCTGTGAAAAAAGGCTTAAATAAGCTCTTGTAAAAAAAAATACTCTTAAGATAAAACTTTTTAAATTAAGGCTATTCCTACCTTTAGGAATAGGAAACCACCCTATTATCTAGAGAATCATTTTAAAAAAATAAAAAAAGGATTAATGAACTCAAGAGTGTAATGACACATTAAGTCTGGACTTTATAGTTTTAAATGAACATCTGCCTTAGGAAGATAGGCAATCCAGAAGTTTGAAAATATAAATAGTTAAAGCCTTATGATCCAATTTTACTTTTACCTTTTTGCAAAATATGCATTGTGTGTCAATTTCATTAAAAATAACTTGATATAATTGCTTCTACTCATCTTGTACTTTTTCACATGCATAGGACATCTTCCTCATTCAGCAGAATAAATTTTGTTTACTTAGGGAAGCTAGTTATTCCAGATCTTTCGTTTTTTGTTCTTTAGTACACATCCTCTGTTTCATTTATTCCAAATATTTAATACTCTGAAAAGATACTCTTTTCATGTGAGCTTTTTGTGCAGTGTCCAATGTTTCAATTCTGCACTACACAGAAGTACCAAACCTGTTTTCAGAACAACTTAATAAAACACTGGATTTCACCTTCATTCTCTGTAGGTCAAATGTAACCCTAATTCTGAATGTTTTCTGAAGTACATGAAACCTTTGATTTTTCATACCTTACTATAGAGACACTTACACTGAGGGCACAAATTTGTAGTTGTATTTTCTACAGCTTTGGGTAAAAAAAAATATAAAAAATACTGTTTTAGCAAAATTAACAACAAATCAAAGCACTTTAAGAGGTTTTTCCACTAATCGTTTTTCCTACAATTCAGAATATTTAAATAAGTCCTAAAAATACAGCTTAACTGTTCAGTTTTCCGAAGATTCGAGCTACAATTTGGTTTACGTATGTGTCATCACACCCATCTCAATACTAATATACTTAAAATGCATAATTGTAGCTATTTAAGAAAGGCTTCACAGAAGTGGTTTACTGCTAGTAATGAAGAAGCACTGAACTTATTACATCTTGTACCAGAATAAGGTATGAGATAGTGTTCTTCAATTTAAAAATATTATCCTGAATTATCAGACAGATACCTAAAACACTTTATATTTTCATTAGATGAGAATTCTAAAATGTCGCAAAACTGTGTTTAACATGTAATAACTCCTGCTGTGCATCTGGAGCATCCTGTCTAAAATTACCCATGTTGATAAAATAATTCGGTATTAACAGTTCAAAGTACTAGAAGTTAGGGACTTTGGTTCTTAATCAAAGCACTCATAGTATTTTTGCTTAAAAGCAAGAAGCAGGTGTCGTTCTGCTGCTTACATTCTTTTTCCATATCTCTAAATATCCAGCAGTCAGCAAGTAACATGCTACTAATAAAAACGCATATAAAGGCTTTTTCTCCCACTACAGAGAGATAATGTAAGCTCTCTTATATAAACCTTTAAGAGATATTAGTTAAGATAAAAACAAAGAAACTCTGATTTTTAAAAATGTAAGAAACCCCAGTTTTGTTGACAAGATATTCCAATACTTATTTCCAATTAAGAGGATGTATTTTATTTCTATTTCGAATTACTCTAGCTCAAATCACTGAAGAACATGCGCTGAGCTTTTAAGATGCGCCCCAGTTGTCTTGCTGTGAATTTAAAGAAGCCACTGGTCTTTGGTTTCTTGATTAACAATTAACTTGATTACTATTTAATCCTTTCTAGTACCTTGAAAGATCTCCCCATTCTTAAAAATCCTTTTTAAAAACTAGCACCCCTCCCCAGTTATAAGCAGAATTCAAGGTTTGTCACATAAATTATGTATAATGTCACTAAAAGTTACGTATAACTTCCTCTTCTTCCATCAAAAAGGAAACTTACTTGTGACCAGAAAAGTAGATTCACATGCTCCCACTAAGTTACTTTAACATTTAAACATCTTTGCTTTTAAGGTTTAACACTCTAAAAATAGAATCCTTTTTTCAGGTACGAGTGATACTCCCCTATCCCTAGATATTTATAATTATTGACAAGTAAAACATTTTCATCTGAATGGGCTCAATTGACTAAAGCACTCTACGATACTTAGGTGAGTTTCTTGTCCTAAAACTGTAAATCCATGTTAAGCCAGTATGATTTTAATCCTATTTTACTCTTGACAAAAATCAAAGAAGTCTTGACCTGGCAATTAACTATTTGAACAACGCTTGGATTCCAGTTTCTTCTATAAAAGTTAACTTTCATTAGCCACCTAAAACATTACTGCTGTACACCTCCGGTCTCCAAAATCATGTCCAAATTCTCCAAAAGTACCTCACTATCCACTGATAAGGGGGGTGGGTAGGGCAGGGGGGCAACAAGAGCCCCCTAAAACAGTTATATGAATTTATGGATTATACTCTTTAATTTTCACTCAAATACTTTAGTCTACCATGTTCACGTACATGATGTCCAGAAAGTTTTTCAAGCTGACAGACCTGCCTTCCTCTACAATGATGAAAGGATAAAAAATATTAGAATAAAGGAAACATGAGTAGTAGATTAAACTGTATCTGCCAAACCTCCTTAAAACAAAGAAAATAATAAGCTATTTCTGCTTTGAGACCATTATCCATCTCGGTTGTCTCTTTCAAGAACTTCATCACTAAACCTGATTTAAGCTTGAGACTGCATGTTTTTCAGTTATCTAGAGCAATATGCGTGACTAGCACAAACACATTTGTTTCTTAAGGAAAAAGTTCCATTTATTTGCCTTGACACAGATATTACGTCATAGCTTCAATTATTTTATGTGTGTGTCCTCATTCAGGAAAAAAAAAAAAAACTTGATAAGCAGACAGCAGAAACAGCCAAAGGAATATGTAACCCACAGATCAATGGCGATACCACTTGCATTTAACCTCATCTATCACTGACTTAATTTTGAGCTGTATCTTGGCAAAACATCTCTATACAATACAATCTAAATTTATAAAGCTATTAAGTTAGTAAGTAGCTTTACAGTGCCTTTCAGTTCCTTGTAACACCAATTTCCTTTTAGAGCCTTCTCTAAACCAGTCAAGAAACAGACTAATGGTATCTGCATCATATCCTACTACTGTTAAATCAGAGACATAAATGCCAATAAAATACACAAGACTGCTCTTGCAGATCATGGTGTTGTGTATTCTGGGTTCTTATACTACACTGCCTTTATTTGCAGTCTTAATTTTCCTATGTGGCAATTCACTGGACACAAGCCAAGTACTTTAAACTATCTGGAAGATTTGCAGTAACAGTTGTCTTTCACAGCACATTCACACTGGTACTCCGGTCAAGGATACAAATCAACAACTGCCACAAACACAAGTGTTCCCTAGTTAGTCTATAGAATCTGATTTGAATCCTCTAAAGGGAAGCGATTATAAAACTCTGGGTAGTGTGTTCTGACTTGAGCCAAAGCAGCCTACACAGAAGGTCACACAGTCTCTGGAAGCACAGCACCTTAATGCTACCGAAATCATAATCAGCCACAAACGCTAAAACTCTAAACGTAGAATGAGACACCATATCACCACAACACTTAGACTACATCTCTTACTTACAAACTTATAAAATATGTTTGCAAAAAGAAGAAGCAGTAATAAATTAGATCTATTTCAAAGGACAAACTTTCTTTATTTATTTACATTGCTAAAACAGAATTAGAGATGCATTTTATTGTAATCATTATTAAATCAAATATCCATTTATCTAACATTCACTTTGTTCAGTGAACTAACTGTCTTATCAAGCTTCCTTTCACAATTACAGGTATCTATTATATGCCTCACAATGCCCACATCTCTGAAATCTGTGTGATGTCACAAGACAAAACCAATGTACATTTTGCATACAACCAGTCTTCTTATGGCCAGTAACTACTGGTCCTCAGAAACATTACCATGTAACTCTATTATGCAGGTGCCATTCTTAACAGATTTCTTGCACTTATTCCAAGGGGAAAAAATTACTTTAAATTCAGAAAATCCTGCATATGTCCTTCAGCTAAATCCTAGAAAAAGACTGGCAGAAAACAAGAAAAACTGCAAGAAACATGTTTATAATTTTGTTGGACTACACCTAAAAAATAAATTAGGTATATCCATTTATGTTTATTCACATAAACATAAGTATTAGCATATTCACATTAATACCTGAGCAGCTCAACGTTTCTATTAAAGGAAGCATATCAGCAGCAAAAACTCAAAACTGAGTCAGTGTTTTCCCAAACAACTCACAATACCACTGCAACAGTCATCAGTACACAGATTAACAGTGCCTATGAACAGATTCCTCTTCATTCAAGAGATTCAGTATTTGATTCAGTTTAAGTGCTCTAATACTACGTTCCTAAATTAAGCTTAGAGCTTTATTTTCTAAGATCACCTGCATGTTTGGTTTTTTTTATCATGATTACCAACCACTTCAACTAACTGCATATTGTTTATTCCCCAGCATAAAAATGCCATTAGAACAGAAGTAATAAAGCAGGACCGTATGACTAAAAAAAAATTAAAGAAACAGTCATCAGTTTAAGACCACATTCTCAGCTACCTACCTAGAAGTATAGTTCAAAGCAACAGTCACATGAAGTTACTCAAAAACTCACTTTGCATTCATACTGAATGTTGGCTAACAAGATGCATAGAA